CTTTTTCTTTAGTAAAGACAGAATAAGGACTTTAAACAATTATTTTATTCACTATTATTATTATAAAACCTTACAAGAGTGCTACAAAATTAATTATCACAGTATTAATGAATTATTTTAATCAGCAGTACAGATGAGAGTAATAAACTTCAATATGAAGTAAAACAGACAATCAATTTACCTGTCATTAATTCTGAAGGAATTTAAATCAAATTGTCCTACAATTAAATGCATCAAAGTACGTACTTACAATTCAGTTCTTTTAACTTTTAACATTAATTATTCATTCACTTTTTAACAAACTCTTTTGAATAACTTCACAAATCTAAACTTTCTGGAATGGTGATTCCACCTGTATCAACAGTTTCATCACTATTATCTAAAGATAAGAAACAGTTCTGGGTTTCGTCATCTTCAACTTCCTAAAAAATAAACCACAAAAATAATTTATGAATAAAGAAATACTGTTGTGAAGTCTTACATTTTTCTTCTTGGGCTCTGCAACAAAACTCTTTTCCGTTATTGTATTTGTTTCTGTGCTGTTAATCGAGTTATTCTTCACTAAAAAGGAAAATTCTAAGCTGACAAATTTTAAAGGAAAAGTTATGACATTAGCAATAAAAATAGCGAATTAAATTATCTTTAGAGGATAAATATGGAAAGTAAAATACTGTACATACCTTCACCCCGAATATTGCTTGGTATTAATCCCTTTACATGATCCATCAGGTGTGAAGCGTAGGTGTTCTCATTAACTGTATGATATGAACACAGTTCACAAAAGTACGAACCCCCTTGTCCTGGATGTTTATTAGCTAAATGTTTTTTATATGCGGCACTCTGTATGGATTGGTAGTCGCAGTGCGGACACGCATACTTCATGTCGCCACTGTGACGCATCATATGTCTGCGAAGGGAATTGTGATCCCCTGTCTTGTATTCACAGACCAAACACTTATGAGGCTTCTCACCAGTATGCTGTCTCAGATGAAGCTCCAACATAGCTTTGCGTGCCGATTTGTGGCCGCAAACGTTACATATAAAAGGTTTATACTTGTTATGAACACACTGTATATGTTTCTTAAGACTTTTTGAGTTGGCAAAAAACTTTTGGCAAATGGTGCATTGCTGTTGAGCCAACCATCCTGGGGGCTAAAAGAAATATAATAGAAAATCAATAAAAAGGATACTTAAATAGAAGTATTTAATAGATATTGGTAAGTTAGTAATTTAATTAAGTACCACTCTTCCTATAAACACGTAACTAAGTTTATCTCTGTAGGGATTTACTAATTAAACTAATTAATTTATTATTAAGGCAATTCAGTATAAAGATTATTTTTGAATTTGATTTAATGTTCTGTTCTCCTAAAAACTACAAAAGTACTGCATTTCTTACCACTTCCTTGTGAATAACTTGATGGGTTCGCAACTGTGAGATAGTTTTGAATGCCTTGCCACATATGTTGCACAGAAAAGGCTTTTCCTCGTTATGAATAGACATGTGAGATATAAGACGAACTATAAGAAAGCAATTTTATTTCAAAATTGACAATTATACCTACATAAAACTACAACGAAAATTTTCGGACAGCTTATTGTAGGATCTCTAATTTAATTTGTCAGTTAAATTAAAAAAATACTTACAACAGGAGTTTGCTTTAAAATCATTACACATGGGACAAGTCAATAAGTCCATGTCAATTTTGTGACATTTCCACAAGTGTGTAGAGCAAATTCTCCAAATTGAAAACTTTACTCCACATTCTGTACATGCAAACTGTTTTTTGTGACCATCAATGTGACAACTTTCATGTCTTTTTCGCGTATCTTCTCTGGCAAAACGTAATTCACAGCCTTTTATAGAACATCTGTTTGCAAATTGAAATTTAATCAAATAATAATTTTAAATAACATAAAACCTTTATACTTTATCTTTTTGGAAGCTTTCTGATGTTTTTTTATCAAATTAGCAGTTGATTTCAATTTATTCTGAATAATTTTTTCCTCTTCTTTAACTTTCATTTCCATAACATTTGCAGTTTCTATGTATTCTTGTTTAGGTTGTTTTGGCACTGTTTTTATTATAGGATGAGCCTAATAATAGTAACGATTAATGCTTGCAATGCTACTGGTACATGTGTATTTATGCATTGTTACTGTAAGTGAAATTTACCCTTATCATATGAGATTTTAGCGTTTCCTTCTTGGTATAGCCTATATTACACTGACTACACAAGAATAATGTCTTTTTGATGTTATGGGAATTATTTTTCTTATTTAAAATAGATACCATTTTAATATCTTTATTCAGTAATTTCTGCAAAGGGCCTTTGTCTAACTCTGCCATATTTTTCTCAGTTGATTTGGGAATTTTTTTTTCTACTTTATTATTCTAAAAGCAAATTAAGCACACATATTTTATAAGAATCAAGTAACATGAAATATGGAATTAATACAAACTTACGGTTACTGATAATAGAGAATCACTGGGAGTGTCCTTTGTTTCTATAGTTTTAGGATGAACTTCATTGATGTGTTTAATTATTTCTTCATCCTTTTCACATAGAAACCCACATTCTTTGCATTTAAATGCTGATACAAGTTCATAGAATTCTTGCAATGTTTCTTTTCGATACATTGGCTTATTTTGAAAAACACTCGGTGACAATAAGGATTTATTAATGCTTATAACTGAACCATCTGTATTTAACAAGTGAATTATCTGGTTAGAAGTTTGATCAGTGTTTGAATTCAACTCATGCATATCTAGATTGGGGTTCGTTGTATTTTTGAAAGAAACATCATTAGGTTTTTTAATGTTTAGGTTGCTATTTTCATTTGAATTTTTTTTATCTTGACTATGATCTTCATCAAGTGTTAAATCTTCACTATATAGTATTGTCTGAACATTATTTATATCTTGCTCCCTAGGATTATTTTGATGAGTAAGATGGTTAGAAGTTGTGCTTTCACACTGTAGATTAAGTTGGAGCAGTAAATCAGTTGGTGTAAACAAGTCCGTTGCCACAAAGCCTTTCTCTGCAACCTTCATTATAGTTCAATTAAATAGTATTCGTACATGTTTTTTTACAAATAAATATACCTCTACTGGATATAAACCATTATTTTCTTGAGAACGTATGGAATTACTAACTGATCCACCATTATTAACATTTTCGGTGGACAGATCATGTATAGAATTCCCTGAATTTGTCACACTAAAAGATGATTCCTCTGAAACTTAATATTATGAAACAATAATAATTTTCAAAAAAATTATAAACAATGTTAACAAAGAATCTGTCATGCATTAGAGGTTACTAAAATACACTTTGCAATTATAAAAAAGAAAGCAAATTATTATATTTAAATTATTGCGTACATGAAAAAGAAAACAAAATATACCTGCATTTTCAGGGGTATAGTTTTCACTAAAAAATATTTCGGTAAACATAGGTTCTATATTTAGGTGAGGAGTTTCTTCACAAATATCCACTGAACTGTTGTGCAAAAGAAAAGCTTGTTTATCTTCTAAACAGGTAAAGTACAAAGTATCATCGGACGTCCCAATTTCCATCGTCTTTGCTTTTTATTAATAAAAATTCCAAGCCAAACGAATTATTAGGTTAAGTTAATATCAACGTGAATCAGTAATTGTACCGGCAGTGCAAATTATCTACATAATACTTGTACTATTTTTTATTACGTCTCTTGTTAACTTCTCGGTCATTTGCATCCAACATAGTCTTCAATTTATTGGGTTCATATTGGATTTTTATACGATTAAAAAAACATTTACTTGGCACAGCACAGACAGAACACCAAACTCGCTAACACTGACAGTTATTAACCATAGATATAAAACACAAAACATCAAGAAGTCTTGTAATTTAAAATTATGTAGCAAACCCTTAAAACTTTAAATGATATACAGGAATTGTTTATTATTTTGTTATTAATTAGGATAAAACAGAAAACGCACAATAGTAAACTTAAAATCAGCAAATGTAGACATGTCTGATTTATCAAAACTTACAATAACAAGGAATTGATGGATATGTTTATGTTTTCTAGTTTGTAAATAAAAGAAAGGACAAAGGTCTAATTGTTTGTTTACTTTATGGTAGATGGGTACTTTAATGCGGAACAATTTTTACTATTTATTCAATAAAAGATACCTAAGTACGTAATTTTCATAATTAAATTTGTCAAATATAATTGCATTTTAAATTGAGTTCTTTACATTTTTTTTAAGCTTTTCTCAAATTTACTTTATCAAGTATACATCTTTAAATAAACAAATGACTAGATCATTGTAAAGTGAACATTCTTTATACTTATTCAGACTATTACATACATTTATCTTACTTCTTTATGTTGTTGCATAAAATTTTGTTTGGCTATGTATGGATTATATTGTGAGTTGTATTTCTGTTTTGGTTGCAGATTATTTTCAACTGTTTTGTCTTTGCCACTCAATTTGTTCAGCAATTCTTCTGCTTTTTTCCTTTCTTCTGTTTCACGTTTTAATCGTTCAATTCTTAATTGTTCTAACTTTTGTTTTTTAATTTCCTTTTCTTCATCATCAATAGAGTCTTCAGACGTGGAATGGGAATGATGCTTTCTCCTTCCTTTTTTGTGCTTTTTAGTTTTCTTTTTATGTGTAGTATTGCTACTATTACTTGAACTTCGATGTCTTTTCCTTTCCTTAACTGAATGTATACTTTTTGAAGTAGAGTTTTGGATCATAGTACTTAGAAGGGATAAATACTGAATATCATGTACTTTATTTTTATCATCAGCCTTTGGCTTTTCTAAATATTTCTTCATTATATTTAGAGGATCCTCTAAAGTTTTGCTTTTCATATTTACTTCGCTACTATCTTTGCTTTCTCTATCTGGAAGTATATCATACCAACTTCTTTTTTTTAAAGCTTCATTTGTGTCCTGGCCTAAATATGTCAAATATCCTATTTGTTTTTCATATTTTTCTTGTTCCTCTTTCTTCTCTTTCTCATGCTCTTTGTTAATTTCATTCGATTCTGCTCTACCTTCTTCTGCCTCTTTAAAGAAATTAATGTGACCTGTTTCCTCATTACAAATCTCTACATTTTTTGATATTGGAATAAAATCTTCACTTTTTAAATTTGTTTTGGCTTTCAATCGAAGAAGTTCAGTTCTTGCTTCTCTTTCCTATAACATTTAAGAGATTTATTGGAATGAGTAATTAAGATTAATAATACAATTATTGGACTATTGTATTCACACGTACAGCAATTTTTAGTCTCTCCTGTTTTTTCTTTTCTTCCTCTGCTGCATTGGCTTCATCTCTTCGGACTCTTGCAATGTTTTCTTTAGTACGAACATGCCACCTAAATTATTTAATTATTAATATTAACGACTAAATATCTCTGAAGTACTTTACCTCTTTTTTGGTAAAATATTCATAATGAATATTAATTTTTCTTTACCAAGTTTTGTTTTAATCTGTTAATAACACAACTCAGATAATTTTCTCTTCTCAGTTGTCAGGTTATGTTTATATTCTGTCATTATTATTACTTATAATCTTCATATTTTTGTTTGACAGTTAATTAAATTACAGATTTGTAATTAAACTTATATTTAAATTGGTAATAATCTTATAATTTTTAAAATATAGTAGTTGAGCTCAGTAAAAGGTAATAATAGTAAAATAAAAACGTTCTTTTGGGCTACGCAGGCAAAATGGGAATTAGATATAATGATAGTAAGACCCCCCTCTCCTCCTCATAACCATATCTTAACCTTAAATATTTCTTAAATAAAATGTTTTCACAACATTGTAAAATACTGCCATAAATATTGCAATCTTTTGTATTACTTAATTTAACTCAAGGAAGTATTATAATTTCTTAAAACATTTATAATTTTATTAAACGACCCAAGTGTTAATGGATCGGTATGTCGAGACGTTCAGGTCCGTTAGATGAGCAGCCCTGTAGGCAGTGCACATCGTTTAAAGATTTTTTAAAAGGCGGCTTTAATAATAAGTCAGAGGGCGAAGACGTAGGTGCTTGTGTAATACATTTATGTAGAACATGCGAGCTATTAATCTAAATGAAGCATCATTTTAGCCTGCTATTGGTTTTCTTCCAGTTAGGGACGATTGTCCACTCGATAAAGATGAATTGGGAAATAAGACATGGGGTCTATTACATACCATGGCAGCTAAATATCCAGATAAACCAACTTGTGAACAAAAAGTTGATATGAAAAATTTCTTTAGAATATTTTCAAAATTTTATCCTTGTGAACATTGTGCTGCAGATTTAAGAGAAGAGTGAGTGGTAATTTTAAAGTAATGCAAACGTTCATGATCATTCTTTCAGATTAACATCAAATCCGCCAAAAGTCGAGTCACAAGCGGACTTCAGTCAGTGGTTGTGTGATCTTCACAATAAAATAAATGTTAAGTTAGGGAAAGAAAAATTTGACTGTTCTAAAGTGAATGAAAGGTGGAGAGATGGGTGGCTCGATGGCTCTTGTGATTACTTGCCCCCTTCATAGCCTTTTATTAATAGATTATGATGTAAAGATAGTAGTAAGGTTGTAGTCACAAAACAGTAAAGAGGTTTTTTATTATCATCTCTCGTTTTACAACTTACAAGCTTGTACGGTTTATTCGTGCAATTATGAAATCTACCACATGAATATCACTGCAGTATTTTGGTTAATTAAAGTGTTTGTTATATATATATATATATGTATANATATATATATGTATATTTATAATTAAGAATTAAAACTGCCTTTGCGATACAATGACATCTCTTTACTTTCAAAAAGTAAGCATTATATTAGTTGTTAAATGAAGTATACACATCTGTTGAATATTATTATTTATTGAAATAAAAGAAGGAAGTACAAATCAATGTTTTAAAAATACAATATTAATTATTACAGTCTGAGAGATTTAAGGCAAAACGTAAAAGTCCAAGTTGATATTACTTTTCCCGGTATTTAATGCATATAAATAAAATTAATCTATTAGGAATACCTTTCTGATTTTGAAATTTTGGAAGTTGTACTCATGGGAGTGAAAACCTCATAGTCAGCAATAGAAAAATTATAATCTCCCATAAGAGCTGCAGGAGATGCTCCTTCCCCATCATAAGTGTGGGGAAGATTTGAATAACTGTCCATGTTGCTATTACAATTACTGGAAATAAGTAAATCCGCACCTGCACCGAATATCGGCCCAGAACTGCAATGAGAAATAGTTTATATTTGGTATTTGTAATGTTTAAAATGTTTTGTCTCTTACTCAGGATGATAACAAATTGCAAAAGGTTTTTTTATTATATGAAACTGAGTAGGTGGTAAATCTTGATGATTGCAAAGTGTAAAAAGAAACGCTTTTTCTGAAGCTACGTAATGACTTTTCCCGGTAGGTCGGCCCCAGGGTGCATCACTAAAACCTCCACAGATTTCACCTCTTGCCCCCTACAGAATTCAAGTTTGACTAAACATAATATCTTTGTTTATAAATAAATTTTCTTATAAATTCAAATTATAATTTTGTAAATAAAAAAAATTACCAATACAATAACATAAGTTGGGGTGATTCCATCACAATGTCTGTGGAAGGCAGAGGCTGAATAACCATGAGTGCTGGCTCTGTAAATAAGTCTCCACGTTTGCTTAGCATAGCCAAACCAAGTATTCAAAATTCTCTGATAGTGGCTTTTGTCTTGGTCTAAAATTAATGACCCAGGAAATAAATGAGGTGAAACTCTAGGCTTGAGTCTCTGATCTTCTGAACCCTCACGATATTTACTTGGTAGAGCTGCGTGTCTGTATCTCTCTAAGCTCAATTCCATTGGAACAGCTCCTGTTGGCTCCACTTCTTCAGCAAAAACTTGACTATCTATGTAATAGACATTAACTTTTTAATTTATATATAATTTCAAAAAAAACAAATACTAACCAATTAATAATAAACGAACGTGACTTATTACAGTAGACAAATGTTGACAAACTCTTGCTCTTTCCTCTTCAGTCCAATGGGCAGTAGGTTGTGTGACACCAGCTTGGTACTTTGCCCAATTTAAAACTGCCCGCCACACATCCTCTTCTTCAAGACACAACTAATTTTTAACATGAATGTTGGAAAGCATTAGCAAGACTACCTTTAATTAAAAATATGTTATTTGTCAAGAACATTTTACTTACATAGTCTGATGATATAAGTTTAATAACTGCTTCCTTTGATAATGAAAGGAAAGAATTTGTACGAACACACTCTGCTGCATTTTCTCCAATATAGCTTACACATCTCTCCACAAAGCCAGCAGCAGCCTTTCCACCTACCATTTCAAAGAAAACAACAAAATACAAATAACTTTTATTTATCTTACATGTTTTCACTTTCAAATTACATTTATGCAAAATTGTAAGTTCTCTTACATTTATCGCCTAAACTATAGTTGTGGGCAAACACATAGGTAATTAAAAAGATTATTTCAGTCACTTAAGTCCAATGCAATGCACATACTATCAAGTTAGTTTAAAGACTGTGGATTAACATTTTGTATAAGGGTTATGTTGTCGCCTTTTAGCATTATACGCCCCAGTTGTCTCCTATTCTTCGTTTTCACGTAATATTCTTCAGCGTCATCCAAAACAAGGTTCATGTACTCATCGAAGCCGACAATGTGCCCTTCAATTCTCAAGTTAACGTTTTCGTAAAGCCAAACTTGAACTCTCGAACGGTTTTGCAGATATCGAAAAATAAGGTTTATGGGTTGAACCATAACCTTTTGAACTTTTTGCGGTTTGAAAGCCATTTTTTAAAAGAAGTATTTTTATTAAAAATTGTTGAAAACAACACTTGTTTCTACCGGTTTGTAAGCGTAGTCTGACGTTATACAAAAAGCAAACTAACCAAACTTATTAGTACCAACCGCAAATTCGTAACTGTAGCCAACATAAAAGAAGAGAAAAATTATGATTTGTTTATATATGAAAAAAAGGGTAAAATAGTTTGAAATTATCGATTTCCTTAAAGTTTTAGTTTAGATACTATCTATTATAAGATTAATTTATAATAATAAAACGTAGTAGTCTGAAAATGCAATATGGAAACTGCAATGTACAAGTGCGATGGTGGTGTAATGGTCAGCATAGTTGCCTTCCAAGCAGTTGATCCGGGTTCGATTCCCGGCCATCGCAGTCTTTTTTTTTGTTACATTTCCTTATTTTTAGTAAAATAAAGGACTACATGTATTTATTATTGGTTTTAGTAACATACCTGGTGATTTTTCCTGGATGTCCATGGCAGCTGCTAGGAAAGTGCAAGCTGAAGCCACTGATAAAGTTGAGGTGACATGATCTTCGCAGGCTGTTCTTAGTTCATCAACGCCTAACTCTTGGGCCAAAGCTAACATTTCAAATACTCCACTATCTTGGAGCAAAATCTGCAACAGATGATATTTGTATTCGTATATTCACATTCGTTATGATAAAAAGTTACTAACTTTTCCTGTATAAACGTACAGCAAAAACTGCTTAAAAGTTTCTGGAGGAGCTTGTGGTAATCTTATGGGTGTGGGGGTGCCAGGAGCTGCAGGGGCTACGGAACATCCTGGTATTCTACATACCTCTCCCCGTTTCGCTGTTTGAAAGCTTTTACATCTATACAATACAAAATAACAATTTGTACCTGATATTTACTAGGTATAATAATAATAGGTTTACATTTAAATTCTTAATTCACCACTTTTTTGTATTATTTATTAAATCAAGGATAAGCAAGTAATGTTTATACATAACGTTAGTTTTATTTAAAATACTTTGCTTCTTAAATGGAAGATCGTTTGGTGCTAGGGTAGTAGATTTTTAATTGTAATCCTTTTATCTAAATCTCTTTCCTTGAATGTGAAAGTGGCACTCCAGGACTACGGACAGGGAATTTTTATCTTAGAGTAAAATTTTGTAGACGCAACCCCAATGTCTTTTACATGTCCTTCAAATATGAAATGGACGTGAACGTAACTTTCCGTGGATACACTTAAATTAATTTAAATTTTTTTTTATTTTTACTGTTTATCTAAACAAAAAATTGGTTGTTATTTAGCTTGTTATTGTTAAGCGACAGTATTTATCTCGTAGTTTCTTCAATGATTTTACCAAAAAAGATTAGTTCCAAATATCACGATTCTAGATCTAGAGTAACGGGAAGTACCTTATAGGTTTTGATTCCCGTGAGAGTGTCAAAATATGAGGCATAAACGGCCGTATCTTTTGATTGTGTTGACTTAGATGTTTGATTTTTTACAACTTAAAAAGATTGCAGACTTGAACATTTTATATTAATTTCAATTTGAACCTCTATGCGTTCTTGAAAAAAAAAGGATCTTGAGAGACTACATTCATGGCAATATGATTTATGCGCGGCTCTTTACGAAAAGTTAAAACCCCACCTGTGCTATTCACTAATGGTAGGTACAAGTGGAGATGTGCAAAATGGTTTTTTAAAAGTATTTAAATACAAAATGCAAATACTTTTTGATTTGTTATTTCAAATGTAAAGTACAAATTAGATTTCCATTTTAAATGCAAAATACGTATTTTCAAAATACTTTTTTCAAATAAAACCGTTTTAGGTAGTACTTATTTAATGCTCTACATTTAAGTAAAAGATATTTTTTTAAAAAACCTTTCAGGCATTTGCTCATTTTTTAAATATTGGAGCTTTTCCTTTTCTAGACTAACGGTGGTGTTTGCACTATATCACCAATTGCGAAGATTAAGTATGATCCACATTTTTCTGTTTGAAGTGATTGAGATATAGTTTTTCTATCTTTTTATTACAGTTTCTTCAGTTCAGCAACAAATACTTCTTCTATATGCTTCTTTATTTGCCTTTATCACCGTTTTAATTGGATAAAAGACACTAATGCGAAAATAGATTGCATAGTGTGAAACATCAGAGCCAAAATAGGGTTGCAAATAATTTTATTAATGTAAAATCAACATCAATCATTTTATATCAAAATATTTACAACCCCATTTTGTTTCTGATCTTTCACACATTGTAATAAGAGAAAAAAATGGAATCAATAGTTTTTTTAGCTTTGGGTTCACCTAATAAGTTTTTCGAATGGTTTTCTAAGAATTTTGGATTATACGCATTTATTAGCACACTAAATAATTCGATCTTATTTTGCGGGCTGTTTCGTATTTCGTAGTTCCTTGCTAAAGATACGGTAAGTGGATATTTATATTCTTTATAAGAGTTTCTTATTAACAAGAAAATAAAGTGTATTTATAAGAAAATACATTCTTTTTTAAACTGAATTAATCCTACATTTAAGAATAATGAAAATAATCAACAAATTTACTGATAATTAGTCATTTATTTCATTGCAACAATAATAACATCTTATGCATAAACAATAGGGGCTGAGTAACCAGCTGGGTAAGCGTAAGGAGCCGCGTAGGCATAGGGAGATGCAGCGTACGTTGAATAACCGTATGAGTAAGCGGGAGCAGCAACAAGGGGAGCGCTATACGCAGACAGTAATGGAGCAGCAATGGCGACTCCTGGTTTAGCTTTAGGCTCTGGAGCAGCCTTAGCTTCAGGTGCTGGAACAGCAACGGCGAAAGCAAAGATAGCGAAAAGTACGATCTGAAAATACAAAAATATGTAAGTAATTATCGAAAATTTTAATTTTTTTATTTCTTAATAAGNAAGCGTTCGAAATGTGGTGTTATAGGCGGATGATGAGGATATCGTGGGTAGAAAAGGTTAGAAATGAAGAGGTATTGGAAAGAATAGGAGAACAGAGGACTCTATGGAAGACAATAAAAAATAGGCGAGATAGGTTGGTAGGACACCTTCTCAGGCATGAAGGTCTAGTCAGAGATATTAGAGGCTGAAACAGTAGTTAGGAGGGGTAGAGGTAGACCTAGATTAGATTACTGTTCGCAAATAGTTAAGGATGTGGGCTGTTCTAGTTTTAGGGAAATGTGAAGTTTAGCTCAGGATAGGAAAGAGTGGAGGTACGTGTCCAACCAGTCTTAAGACTGATGACCTTATGATGATGATCTTCAATGGCCAATGGGAGCAACTTTCATTTTTATATAATGTTTGATCTGTGATACTGACAAAACTTTTAACGGCAAAAATGTGTTTTGCATTTTACAAAAAGAAAATACGTTTGGAAAAGTATTTGAAATAAAATACAAAATGCTTTTCTCAAAAAAGTATTTAAATGCAAAATTAAAATAGGTATGTATTATTTTGTATTTGCATTTTAAATACAAGTATGTATTTCAAATAAATCACATTTCTGGATACTAGGAACTATATCATGTCATATAAATAATAAACATTACAAGAAGATATGAACTTCTTTTTGCCCCGGAATCTCACGCTATTAAATCTGACCGTGGGTAGAATGAAAGTAGTTCGCGTAAGTGGATGCGTTGTAATTTTGCAATTTAATTTCTCTTTGCGAAGATGGGGTAGGTGGGGGCAACTCTGCTGTGCTTATTTGTTCGTTGTCGGTGCAACAAAGGATCTTTCCATGTTGTAGAACAGTACAAGTATGGCAACATTTGCTTTCTTTCGGACGTTTACCTGAAGTAGCTAATTAGCCGTGCGCGTACATAAGTATTGTCAGCGGCGGATAAAAAAAAGTTAGTTACGGCAAAGTACATTTCCGCGGGTAGTGCTGTTATGTAAAGCGAACGAGAAAATCAAAGCGACCTCTCGTGACGTTTGAAGTGGATGATCCATCGTAGTCGTTACAAGCAATTTTATGATTAGCGTCATCGTAAGGGCCGTTATGAGACTTTAGAAGAGACTAAGAACAAAGCGACCGTAGCTTTGATGTTATAATGAGAGCAGTCCTTGATTACCTTCCACCTTGCACGGCGGTGGTTCCATCCGGAAAAAGTATTTCAATTCTTTTGCACGCACATTTACCATACGAGTACTAATTATAATTACACGCGATCGTTAATTATTACTATGCCGAACTGCCGAACGCAAATTGCTTCGATTTTATTACCTCTTTACATATATCTACCCCTTGAATATAAAATTATATTTCTGTGAAATTATGGGTAGTGTAGTAATGCATAACAGTATCCTATTTTAGTAGCCCTAGACAAAAGTTTTTAGTCTCTCTCTAGTCTCTCAGTCTTTCAAAGTCATTCAGCGTCTCTGAGAGCGTCTCTCACAGTCTCTCAGTTATTGCCTAGGTGTTTTTATGGATCCCTCACAGTCTTTGTATGAGAGACTCGAACGATAAAATTGTTAATTCATATATTCGAGTCTCTCGTTCAGAGACTGGATACGAAATGAGGACCTCTCTATGAGCGACTCGAGTCTCTCGTTCAGAGACGCTAAACAGTTTTTTTGACAGTCTCTCTCAGCGGCACCAGAGAGACTCGATGAGAGACGGAGACTCGAGTCTCGCTTTCAGAGACTCTGATAGACTGAATATTTTTATTTCAAGAGTAATGGTAGAAATGGTAGACAGGGCCCTCGATCTACCAGTTTAACTACTACGGGCAAAATAATATTTGCCACCCTTTACAATGACACTTTATAGGTCAAAAGAATGTTATTTCAAAAATGGAAAAATGCAATTTTTAACTATAGGACTCTCCAGCAAACTATGTGAAACTAGTGAAAAAGTAATATACGAATTTTAGCTTATATGGACAAAAGAATCAACTATGGGAATCCCCTAACAAATCGTGTTGTAGGATAAAAGGGTGTTCCCCAAAAAATATTGGGAATAATTCCTTGTCAATTTTCCACATCGGATAAAAATTCTCCGACGCGAATTTTAAAATAGGGGTAGGAAATGGACAGATATGATCGGAAATAACTACTTCTCTCAACGTGAGTTAAGAAGTCCTTGTGAAACGAAAAGGGTTGCCAGTTTAAAAATGTAAAATCGGTAAAAAGTCGGGAGAATTTCCTTGTATTCGCAACTAATGGTGAAAAATTATTACATTTTCAGTACCTACTTAAAAGAGTTGAATTCCTTCTTTCCCATTTTTCTTCCTGTTTGACTGCTTATTAAGAGATAGCAATAACAAAATTATAAGACAGAACTCTAAAACTTTAACCAATTTTCAAATTTGGACGCTAGAAATTTCGTTTCCTACAATGGTTTAAGCCAGTTTTAATTTGTATGATAAAAAGGGCTGCAGAGTGTCATAGTATAGTGACAACTGTTTTGACGAAAATTTGTTTTTGCATGATCGATGGAAATGCCTCATAATTTCGGCTCTTTTTTAACCAATTGTCGAATTTAGATGCACCAAATTTTGCTCTTTAAAGTGGTTCAAACCAATTTAAACTTCATCGATATAAAAGCGTGGCAAGGTGACATGTGTTTTAACGAAATCGATTTTTGTGCAATCGAAGGAATGATTTATAATTTCAGTGTAATTTCAAATGGCAAGTATGTGCCTACATATGCGGAAAAAAAAACTAGAAAACGTTCATAATAGCACTGTTCACATAACTAAAAGTAGGTAGGTACTTTGAATTTTTATTACGTCCAGTTTATTTTTAATATTTGATCGATTGTGGTAAATGACAAAATTTGTGGATAATATGTTATTAGACTGCAGAAAAAAATCGAATTAGGTAAATGCAGTGGACTGGTGGAGGTATTTCATGTAGGGGACATTCAAGAGTTTAATAAAGGGAGGAAATGAATTTTGCGAAAGTGTCGCTGTGGGATATTGACAGGCCGTGGTTACCTTACCAAATTGGCAACTGTCACAGGGAGAAATTGCTTTTCGAAATTAGTTTACCGTCTGCTGCAATGAAAGCGTTTACTTCGTATAAGACTGTTCAAATTTAGGGGAAAGTTTATATGAAATTTTCTTATTGCTTAAATTTATTTAATTTTTTGTTGTAAGTGATGTTTTTTCTTAAATTACACAGGTCTCAAGGAGTTTAGAATTCTTTGGGCTCTTTTCAGTTAAAGAATTAGAAGGCATTCATGGAATGTCTCTTTGTTCTCTTTTCAAGCTTCTAATATCTTCAATGGCCAATGTGAGCAACTTTTATTCATCATTTTATATAATGTTTGATTGGTGACACTAGCGAAATTACGCTTGGAAAAGTGTTTTTCTCAAAAAAGTATTTAAATGCAAGATAAAAATAGATATTTTTTATTTTGTATTTGCATTTTAAATGCAAGTATTTCAAATAAATCACATCTCTGAGTAGGCTGTACATTATTCCGTTAAAATAAAAGGGCTTTTCGTTAACGCCAATTTTGCAACGACGAAAAATCAGTCAAGCGAATGCGTTTGTTTCGAACGCTTCGTTAGCAGTAAAATACATTAATGCTTTTTATAAAATAGTTAAAGAGTTTGAAAAGGATTGTAAAAAAGTTTGGTACAACATATATATTTATATGTTAGGCTTAGTTCACAAATTGATAAAATATGTTACAGTCAGAAAATGAATTCCAAGTGGGCAAAATTTAAAGACACCAAAATATTTTTTTGACTTCATTATTTCTATCCTTTGAGCGGTCTCCATCAAAAACAAACAAGCGGGCTGACTTTGACAACTTGATTATTTTTTTCTGCCTCTAGCACAAAGGGCTCTTGGGGAGATGTTGCAAAGAATCAAATAATGCAAGCGTGAGAAGTACTTTTTTTACTTTTTTTTTGCTTTTTGCTTGGAGCTTTTATAAAATGTAAAGGAAATGGCACATCGATCGCGATCAAACGATTTGTGTTGACTTTTCAGAATGCTTTTTTTTAAGTAGGTACACAACTTTATATTAAAAATCTACCGCCACTTGTCTTAGAATCTCGAAGTCTGTGTAGTATATGGTGGTGAAAATGGAAAAAAATTGAACTAATGTTTATATCTAACGATTCTTGTTGTATAAAACCTCTCAGATTTATAAATAAAATTGGTAAATGTCTAGATGATGGCCCCCACCACCCCGAAGGTGGTGGGGGTGGGTGGTATCGAAAGAGGAGGCCTCTCTCACCACTGTGCCATAAAAAATTCGCGGTCTCACCCCCATAAAAAGTTTGGATTGACATATTATTTGCATATTTAGCAAATCAACGATGTTTTGTATAAGTTAGAAGTATGATGAATAAGAAATGAGGTAATTGAATAGGATTAAGTATCACAAACAAAATTTTGTCTTTTGAAAATTGTAGTTTCAAAATCATTAGAATCCTGCAAATAGTAAATATTATTTTCGAAACCGTTTGTTGATACATCACATATTATATTTTGATTTTCTTTTCTCTTTTGACGTTTAAATATTTCTCAAATATATCAAATTTTAAAAAATATTTCATTACTGATAATAATTTCATTTATACTTTAAGCCAGCCCTGACGACCTTTAGCCACTTATCTAATTTTCACTAGTTCTCCTGCTGTACGGTAGCTATAAAAGGTTGTAAAGATATCAACGGACTTTAAAAGTCAGTTTATTATATATTTGAGGTTTCTATACCTCCAGTCATTTCTTCATTTATTTAAAAGATTTTTAGAGTTTGTTTAGACGTAATTGAAAAAATATATTCCACTCGTTCTTCAAAATATAATGCATTTTCTTAGTGGGACATAAGAAAAAAACACCCCGTCAAAGAAATTTTTAATTTTTATGTTCGATGAGTTTTTTGCCTTCCCTGTATATACAGTCGGTTTTTATCAAAAATCTGACTTTTATACGTTAATATATTTAAACTGTTTTATTTAAAGGTGTCAAAAATAGAATCTACATACTTTTTTTTACGTAAAATACAGTATATCCCAAAAAATAAAATATTTAACACATTTTTGAAATTGGTACCTACATCAACCTAAGGAGGGTAATTCATACACATACCTACATGTATGGAGTAAATAATAAACATCTTCTAAGGTAATAAGGGTGTATTAAATCAACTTACCGTGCCATTAAAATAACCCTGTGTGCGTAAACCCGTTCTTCATCCCGTCCAAGAAGAAAAACGATATCAGCGGAATCCGTATCTTCAGAAAGCCTTTGCAGATCGTCTAGAAGCCTTGGAACACCTGTTAAGGCCTTATCTGCAGGTAATCCTGCTGTCCCCAAAACCCTTGATCCCATTAAAAACTAGAAAAATAATTATAAATATACAGGGCGGAACAATTCTCAAACATATTTATTCTCTGATTTTTTAACTTTTAAATTACGTATTTAGTGTTTGATAATTCGTTTGATTAATTAAATTGATGAGATTTTTAAAAGATATAAAATTATAATTTATTTTATCAATTATTTTATTGTTCTCATATTAAAATATTCCAACTTAATCGGTGACTTCTGCGCATGTAATTCATACTTTTCCTTTTAACTTACCAACCAATCAAATTTCACAAAAAAAATGTAGTGTAGGTATANTTATTTTATCAATTATTTTATTGTTTTCCTCATATCAAAATATTCCAACTTAATCGGTGACTTCTGCGCATGTAATTCATACTTTTCCTTTTAACTTACCAACCAATCAAATTTCACAAAAAAAATGTAGTGTAGTGCACTTGTTTGTTTATCTTATAAAAGTTTAATACGTGCACTATGTAATACAAAAAAACAGAAAAGAAAGGCAGACACGCACATACAGTGTATAAAGACTATCAAAAACAACGTCTTAGTGACATGGTACAAAATTGTAATTCTGGGAAGTTCTTCTACAGGTAAACTTGAATCTGGTTTACCGGTAGGAAAACGGACAATGGGTACACTGGCCTTAGGTGAGTTCGATGTTGCCAGATTAATGGGTTACTTTTATATGGTCTAGCTAATCTGTTAAGATCTATGCATACGGTAAGATATAAGTGTATACCTGGAGGTACTTACAATGAGCTTTCTTCTAAGAGCCAGAAATTGTAAGCTAAAGTAAATATTATATATAAAAAAAAAACATGAGTGCAGTCAGCACAGGGCAAAGTAGTATTACGTAAATGAAAGATAGTATCAGCAGTTTCTTATGCTGAAGTGTACGATGTGTTGCATACCTGTTTACAAACAATTCCTTTAAATTTAATTTTTCAAACAATTTTTAACACAAAGAAAGTG